CTTTAACTGGTCCTCATGCACTGGTCCTGTACAGGCCTTTAACTGGTCCTCACGTACTGGTCTTGTACAGGCCTTTAACTGGTCCTCACGTACTGGTCCTGTCCCCCTAAACAAAGAAGCTGCTCTGATTTTAAACAAGCAGCTCAGATTTTTGGGTCTTTGTTTCTGATGTTGATAAAACTTTACAAACTAAAAGACGTGCACCGTTTTGCTGCAAACATCTAAAATCTTGAGTCTTCTCCTTAGTTAACAACACTAGTGGGTCTTTCTTAGTTCAACTGAACACGCAGGTATCTGTTGGTACTTCTGCTAAACCACTGACCCCTCCACCCCCTGACCCAAGCTGCAGAGTCATCGATCCAAGTTCAAGGTTCTTTATTGTCATTCGCATCACATGTTGTACATGAGGTGGAATGAAACTGTGTGCACAGGGTCTCAACAAAAACAAAAATATAAAGTGTTAAAAGAAACAGCAAACAAGGATCCAAGATATAAATTAAGACAAACACTAATAAACAAATGCCAAAAGGTCCGAGGTTCAGTAGTCCCTCGCTACTTTGCGGTTCATTTATCACGGACTCGCTCTATTGCGGTTTTTCAAAAATAAGACTGGACATGACACACTGATTGATGGATGAACCGCACGATCGGCATGGATTTTTATTTAAAATAAATTGTTTTAAATTATTTAGCACCTCCTGCAGCTTTGATCGTTACATTCTGTGATCTTTTAGAGCTTTAGAGTTTAGAAACATTGCTTAGAATATTGCAAGAGTGTGGGAAGGATTTAACTACTACTTACTACTTGTACTAGTATTCCTACTTTGAGGTTTTGTACTTATCGCAGGGCATCAGGGTACGGATCCCCTGTGATAAACGAGGGACTACTGTACATGCTAATAGTGCCAAACAATACCACAAACAACAGCAGCATGAGCCTGAGTCTTTGTGGGGGGATGAGTACGAAGGAATGAATACAGCAGCATGATAATCAGCAGCATGATAATCAGCAGCATGATAATCAGCAGCATGATAATCAGCAGGAGCCAAGTCCTGGTCGTAACTCCGAGACGTACTTTGTGTTTGTCTCCTTTGTTGTGTTTTGATGGATTTAGAAGAAACATCTACGGATTATTTGTCATGTAGTCCCATATTATGACACTACCCCCTCCAGACTTCTTTGTGTTTGTTGTCACTCAAACACACATAAAACATGTCCGAGGTGGACAAACTCATTTTGTTTTGTTTTTACCCAAAGAAAACATTAAAACAAACAGAAGTATTATCTAGTTTTCTTTTGTGGCAGTTTTGTGCGTAATTTTTGATCTTGGACTTTTCATGAACGTTAAAATGATGGAGTGTCCTCCACACGATCTGAAAAGTCAAAGGAACTTTCTGCTGATGGTCTCTTTTTTTCCCAGACCTCTCTATGTGAGTGACTCTGCCTGTTAATTTGTCTTTTAGGACAGCCGCTGTGACTCTGATTAATGAAGCTATGGTTGTGTTTTACCTCCTGATCACTGCAGGTCTGGACTGAGCTCATCTGTGCGCTCTTCCATTTCTGTCAGCGTCACTTTGACGTTCTAGTTTGCTTCATTTCCACCATGTTATTGCACATTCTTGACTCAGATTTCACATTTTGTTTTGTTTGTACGTGTTTTTCCTCTTGCACTGTATTTATAACCCTTTGTCTTGTTTAATCACAGCTTCTGAGAAACACTAAATATGCACAGATCTGCTGATAGACATTCTTAACTGTCATTTTTGACTGGGAGTTACATTTCTTGGAGGGCTTTTTATTTAAAATCCCAGAATTTGTTACTTCTGTTTTAATCAGAGTGCTGTTGCATACCGTGCCACCGTAAAAGTCGCATCAGTCCAAATATGTCTAATAAAGTGGAAAAAAACATAAATAAGTCACTTCGCCGTATAAGTCGCATCTATTATGCGTCACCGCTGACCACCCGGAAACAGGGGCCGGTGTTGAGCCAAAAATCGATTGGCTGCCAAATGGCGACCACGGGAGCGTGCATGGGAGGACTTGAACAAGAATTTAACAAGATTAACACTTAAAAACAATTATTTGTTTGCTCAAAATTATAGCAAAGGTGTGTCTCAGTTTAATTTTTCCTTAATAAATGCACTTTAATGGTCAAATCAGCTGCATTTCGGCGGTGCGGTGAAATGCAGCTGATTTGACGTTTGCTCCAGGAGTTCTGGAGCGAGATGAATGTGGCCTGTATGGCAAGCCAAGTGTGTCATTAATAGTCATTTTTACCTGTTAATGAGACACTTGGCTTGACATATTACTCGAGGACCCTCTAGCGGCTGAAAATGGTTGTGTTCAATATTTTCCATATCAGAATGACTGAAATCGTCAGAGCCAAAAGTTGGGTTATAAATATGGGGGGGGAACATAAACAAGTCGCTTCACTGTATACGTCACAGGGAATGCAAATTTATGCAAAAATTTGTGACTTATACAGTGAAAAATATGGTAGTTACTTTCTCCATAATCTGCAGTTTAACTGTTTTTTCTGCACTATTAGCACAGAAAATGTGCTCATGAGTGCTTAGTTTGCAGGAAATAACAAATCCACTTTACAAATACTTTAATATTGTCTTATAAAAAGCTCATTCATGTGTTTGTAAACACTTTATAAAAGCATCATTAATCTATTAGAAAATATTGTTCGTACATTTAAACAGGATCACTATTTGGCAAGATCAAGTGCTGTAGTTTTATTCATTTCTTCAGAATTTAATGTTTGAAATCAAATGCTGTATGAGGATTTTACATCTATTTATAGGCTTATAAAAAAAGTTTACTTTTTAAAAAAGGCAAGCTTAACGATTAGCAATAAAATATTCTTACTTAAGCAAATACAAGTCCAGCATTTGATCTTGCCAAATTTCGAGCCTGATTTAATGAATTAAATACTTTTAATAGTCTTTTAAACAGGTTTGATAATGCTTTAAAATGATGAACACAGATAACCACTGCATGCATTAATGAATCTTTTATAAAGCAGCCCTTAATGGAAAGTGGTACCAACAAGTCAAACTTTTTTTTTTTAATTTTGCTTTGAAGAGTTTAAACTGAGTAAAATAAGTGGAAGACAAAAGCAGCTTTAATTCTTTACTTCATAACTATTTTATTCTTTGTTATAAAAAAAAAACATATTAAACTTGATCTAGAATTTAAGGTTAAGTTCTTAAAACTGAATGTTTGAGTCCCGTGAACTTAAACTGCGCAGGAATTCTTTCTTTAAACACACAACTTGTTTGGTTTGGCTCTTCGTCGCATCTCAGACGCTTCATTCCAAAGATGCAGCTTCTGCTTCCGACAGTTGGACATGAAGCTTTCATGAAGTCTGGCCTCCTTTCCTCCACTGCGGACACATAAATCACCGTGGTGGACTTATTTATGTTCGTCGAGCTGCTCCACATTTTGTTGTGTTTGCTGCACATTTGCTTTGCATAAACGCACACGTTGGGGTGGTGTGTGTGTGTGTGTGTGTGTGTGTGTGTGTGTGTGCGTGTGTGTAAACTGCTGCCACGTTGCTCTCACCTCAGGAGCGACATGGCTGCAATGCACATTCACACAGCTCCAGCAGATTTCCCTTTCCTTTGCTTTAACAAGAAGAAATGATTCTGGCGACAGCAGATGTGTGTGGGTGTGGTGAAGGAGACATGTGTCATTATCATCATCATCTCCTGACGTTGATGGAGAAGATTAGCAGCAGAACAGTCTCATCTTGTTAATGAGACCTGGGTGTGCTGGAGTAAAGGAAGCAAGAGACCGCCGCTCCTCAAACGAGCAGCAAAGAGAAAAGGAGGAAATGGAAAGAAGGGCAGGGGAGAGAGCGATGTACGGAGGAAGTGAGAGCCACACTGGTGCCGTTGAGC